TGCTGGTGTAGCCGCTGCCATGGCTGCCCGCTGCGCCGCCACCCATCCCCACCGGGGAGGGAGAATGGAGGCCGACACGCGGGCTGCCCGCCCCGCCGGGGCTGCCGCGGTGCCTGGGGGAGAGCATACAGTTCTGCTGAGACGGATGCGGGCCACTCACCGGGCTGGGGCTGGCGCGGGAGGGACTGTTCATTCTCCAGTTCTGGCCCTGCTGCGGCGGCTGCATCCCCCCCGCGTGACTGTGCGGCGGGGGGCAGCCGTAGCGGTAGCTCTGCATGTGTCCCCCTGGAGGCCAAACAGCAACACGCAGCAGCGGTGTTTACCTCAAAGCAGTCGGCAGACTCCATTTTCATCAGCGTTACATACGTGTTCATATTTTTCAGCATTGCAGTGACAATCTGCCACACGGAAGGTATTAGCTACAACGGGTAGTAAGATTTTGGACATACCTCTGGAGAATATGCACCGACATGTAAAGCTGTGGTTCGTTGGTGACGTGAGAGCGCACCAGTTTGCTCTTGGTGTGGGCCGACACGATGGTTCCGTCCGAGAGGGAGAAGCGGTAGATGGGGCTGAACGCCTGGCCGTGGCGAAGCACTGAAAAAAAGAAACGAGGGTTTACCAAACGGGCACGTGGGTCGCACCGCAAACAAATACGTCCACGCCCGGCGTGACTTACCTTCTTGTTGATGTCGTTTGGCGAAGGACATCTCGCCATCGTTTTGCAGGTGAAAGCGTTGGATGCAACGACGCACCAGGTCCTCCCAGCCCGGCTTCATGGAGGCCCGCAGCAGGCTGGTATCCAGGGAGGTTATCTTGCCTTGAAAACGGCAAACGATAAAAAATATCAACTCATTGGAAGGCTTCTTTGTGACCGTAGTCAAGTTAAAGCCGGGGGGGTTCTTAAAACTTTTTGGATGCACGCACCTGAGGCCCAAGGAGTACGTTAACTCCCATAAGGCAGACAACCAATCAAATTCAAAAGGCCATGTCTTAAAGCAGGGGTGTCAAACTCATTTTAGTCGCCGGCCAATTTGGAGTTACGTCTTGCCTCGGAGGGCCGTGATGACAGTGACCACAAAGTGACCACAAAATTGTTTCTTGTACGCAACAAATTAATAGATTACTCGTTTTGAAATCAGTCAATCATAATAGTTTGTTCAACTATTGTTCAAGTGAGTGTGTACTGGGTCGCAAAATGATTGCAAAATCGCAACGTTATTTATTACACGTGACAATCTGACATTTGGATCCAGATTTTAGCAAGTTTACACACATGATTTGCTTTCACGGGCCACACAAAATGACCTGCCGGGCCAGATCTTGCCCCGGGCCTTGAGTTTGACACCAGTGTCTTAACGCTAGCAGGATACACTGCTTTTTTTTTCCTTCTTTTTCTTTCTTTCTTAAAATGTCAGCAAGACTCACAAGCTTCCGGTCAAAAGCCACGACGCGAGCTACACCTGGTACACTCTAATGTGCTTCAACTGAGAAACCAGGTCATGCCATCTGTCAAACTAATGGATCTCGTTAAGTATGCGCCTGCAATGTTGCTGTAATTGGACTAGCGCGTAAGCATCGAGGGCAGCACGGTGGCCTAGTGGGTGATGGGTTTTGCCTCACGCTTCTGAGGTTGGAATGTGTCTCTGATGGTTGGTGGGATTTTTGGACCGCGTTGTGCTTTCTTGGGTACCTTGAAGGTCCTGGCGCGTGGTGAAGCTCTCGTGCGTGGGCAACATGGGCCTCTCCTTCATGGGAACCCGGCGAGCCACGCAGATCAGGCACGACTGGAAGTCTGAGGGCGGCAGAGAAGAAGCCAGAGATGAGGACGTATATAGAAATATATTGAAAACAGTGAGGGGCGAGGGGGGTGGGTGGATGATGGAGAGAGGACGAGGTGGGACGGGGAGCTGGGTGCCCCCCCCCAACACCCCCTCCCACCCCCGTCTTTCATGAGGAGGAGCAGCTATGTTTGGCAAAAGAAGTGATGACCTTTGAGTGTCTGTGTCAGTGTGTGCTCCAGTAAAAGGGGAATTTATGCAGCGTTTCAACTCACCTGTTTCAAATAGTTGAAACAGTTTGGAATTTTTTTTCTTAATATTTACGATAAAATATTCATATATTTCTGTATATCTAAATATGTATAGAAAATCGAAATATATATTAAATCTGGGTTGATGTCTTTCAATCAAGATGAAAGAACAACATTTACAAATACATTTTAAAAAGTCATTTTACAATCTGTTATCTCCTGATCAAGTCATTACGAAGGTGACATGGAAGGGGGATCTAATTTGGATTAAATGAATCGTAAAAATCCCTTTATAAAGATGACATAAGTCACGCAAAAATATCGCCGAATGTCAAGATAATTTCAAAAAATTAGGCACAATTTTTGAATCTGTTGCCTCTTGAGCAGCATCAAAGCACAGGTGATATTTTTTTAAAAGCGTCACATTCCTAAAATAATGATCTATGTCATTTTTTCAGATAACTGAACCAGATACTGATTGTGTTATTATTTCATTTGAGGGGTAAAATCGAATGATCCGTTTCACGAATGACATTGTCGATCTTCGCGGAGATCGACAGTGACATGATTCTAAAAATTCCGCATGCGGAATACTTCAGGCTCCTTCTCATGTTCTCCCGCTACGCCTCAGTTTTACAATCCAACGGCGCCTCGTCCTTGCTTACCGTCGCCTTCCTCCTTGATGGACTTGGGCTCCGACACGGCGAAGCACTGCATGGTCTCGTACTTCTGCTGCTGCGGCGGCTCGTGCTCGTGCGCGTGCTCAGGGCTCTCGCTGTGCGGGTTGACCAGCATTCGGCAGTTGAAGGTGTGGCTGTTGCGTCTCGGGCCGTCGCTTGACCACGGCACGCCGTTCACTGTGGGTGTGGGGGGCGGAAGGGAAAGAAAAAGGATTCAGTCAGTGAAAATGCAGGTCGATGAGTGCCCGAGAGCTTTGCAAAAGCCGCGATTCAGTCGCATGCTCGAAACATTTGACCCGAGGTATGTGCAGATACTCAACGTGCTTTTAAAAGGCAGACAGCGAAAGGGTTTCGACTCGGCTGGCTGTTAAAACTCATTCAGTCCCAGCCAATTCTGGACCAAGTCTGAAAAGACGTTTAAAAACGTCTTTGGGAGTGAATGAGTTCACTGGCTAAAGAATGAGCCGAGCGGCAGGTGGTGTGTAAACGTACGCTTGCGTTCATTTTGTTAGCTTTGTTTGATAAAGCGACGCAAAGTCCATTTGCGGCTGTGTTGAACCAAGAGATCGTAAAACTAAAACTTAACTAGCGGTGGTAAATTCGCGACCGATTCTCGTGAGAAAGAAAAATTCAGAGCCCCTCGGAAAGTTTGCATTCCACGAAACTAAGCATATTCATCTGTCCAAAAACACACACAACTCGCTTCACTCGAGCAAAGTCGCGTTCCCACTCCATCTGCTGATCTCGTTCACTGCATTGATGATAATCTCCCAGTTATCTGGGACACAGCCCCGCAATTGATGCTTTTTTTTTTTTTCCCGGGTGCTTCTTCTTCTTCTCCTCCTCGCCACTCGCTCTCCCGCCCAGATGGCCGGCGCACTTGTCAGACCTCAATCCCGAGCACCGAGGGGAAGGGGCAGGGGAGGGGAAGCACTGACATAGATTGAAAAATCACCTCCGGTGCCTGATTAGTGGCCAAAAGAAGAGGATGGCGAACGTTAAGGGGTAAAAATTGGTTTTTATCATATTCATACATTATTACGACAGTTTTTTTTTCTTTATTTATTATTTATTTTATTCTTTATTTTTATCATGACTTTATTCCTCTCTTGTTATGGCTTTGCAAGATTGTAACTTGACTGTCGTCAAATTAAGACAGACTTTATTCAAGAAAAATTCTAAATCTTTAAAAAAAAAAAAAAAAATTGTTCTGACAATATACAATTTTCTCTTGTAAAATGGCAATTCTCTAAATAATTAGTGTGTGACAATTTTCACATTGCGACTTAATTTTCTTAAAATTTGTATCTTTTTTCTCTCTCTCTCATATTATGATTATTCTTGTAATGATACCATTTTTTTTTCTCGAGTAATAAGACTATATCCCAGTGTGGGACAAATAAAGGATATCTTATCTTATTCTCACCAAATTAACAAAATAGTCCACTATTTTATCGTGGTATGATGTCATTCTCCTAAAATTCCTCATTTTTGGTTATACAATCACGATACTTCCCTGCAATATTTCTCATAATATAATTTAATTCTTGTGATAATTTTTGTGCCAGATCATGACTCTTCTCAAAAAAATAACAACACAAAATAACTTACTGTAAAACACGGACGTTTGTCTGTAATCTTATCCCGACCTTTTTCTCACCAAATACCACAATTTCAGAAGCAATATCAAATCCCCCCCCCCACCCCCCCCATCCCCGGAAGAACTAAATGGGAAGATGACAGCAAAAAAAACGGGAAGGTAACATCCTTGATGTGACGACGGAGGCACAAGATGAGAGTCTGTGAAGGGAGCCGCGGCTAACAGGGGAGAGAACCTGAAAAAGGAAGTTAATTAGCCGAGAAGGGGGCTTGACGGAGGAAGAGTGCTGCGGGGGGAGGCGGGGGGGGGATTCACGCCATCGGGCAGGGGAGAAAATGAACAACGTATAGAATATATGCACTGACCCACAAAAAAAAAAAGGGAGTGGAACGCATCAAAAGTCTGCCGTCTACGGTTAAAAACGCGAAGCCGAGATTGTCAAGCCGTGTCACGGTCAGGTTGGCGCGTGGGGTCTCACCGAGGGATTTGGGCAGCAGGTTCTTGATGAACTCGGCGTGGTCTCCGACGTGCAGCACGCTGTAGACGCTGGTGTTCATCAGCTCCTCCTGGTTGTAGTGCAGGTACTGCGTCACGTTCTCGGACACAAACACGATGTTGCCCTCCATGTTCACCACGAAAAAGAAGCCGTCCAGGGCCTGTGTGGGACACCGACAATATGATGTCAAACGCTGTTTTTGTCCCCCCGCCCCCATTTCCCTAATGGCTTTTTCCCCCCTCATCGGGAAAAACAAAAATGTTAGCGCTGTAAGGATTGGAATTTGCGATTATTTTGTTTGCATGTTATGACTTTATTATCATACAATGATTTGTTTCCCCCCCCCCCCCCCCCCCACACTCAGATTACAACTGATTCAGATAATGTGATGTGTCCAAAAAAACCTTTTCCTCGTAACGTGAGCACCAACATGGTCAAATTACTTTCTGATCAAAATTCACTTTTTTTTCTCCACTCACTCTATTCTTGTAATTGCAAGTAGTTTGAATATCCTGAATAATTTTCATCACGAATAGTACAACTAATCTTGTGATACGAAACTTGTTCCTTGCAATGTTACGACTCTGTAAAACGACAGCTTCTTTTTTTTTTCCTGAAAAGAACCCATTTTTGTAAATGCAACTTTTAGTCATTTTATTTTGTTTCAAATTCCACTTTCATTGGTGATGTCAATCAGGAACAAATGAGTGACTGTTTCGTATTCATCCGAAAATACACAAATTAGGGTCTCGTCCCCATCGGACACCGTTTGCTTAATCTGCTCGATTGATTGTGTCTTCATCTCCAAAGTTTGCGGGCAATTCCGCTTGTTTTCTGTGCTTGTTGGGTAATTATCCACCGTATTGACAAAGCACAAGCTGTATCAAGATGGCCGCAGAATTACGCAATATGGGCCATCCATCACTTTTCCTGTGCAACGGCAGGAGAGGACTGAATGAAGAGGAGGAGGGGAAGCACTTAATTGAAAGAATATAGCCTCAGGTTAGCCATTACGCACAAGATGGTGGCAATTAGGCCATCAAATCACCCGCAGCCCTTTGGAAAAGAATTCCAAAAAAAAAAAAAAAAAAAAAATTGGTGTTTGGTAATCTGAGGTGCTCCTCTTCCACCTCTGCGATGAGGATAATCAACCATTAGACTAATTGTTTTCTACGGGCGACCTTCCATTTTTAAATGCATGAAAACGTCGGACGCTTCCCCAAAGTCGAGCCCAGTTGAAAATAGAGCAGCGGCCGCCGACATCATCTATCGTGGCACGCTGAGTGCATTCCGTGTGAAGAAAGGCCACGCGCCGGACAAGTAGGGCACATCGAAACGGAGCGAGCCTCCTTCCAGACAGCGCTTGCGTAACGCTGCGGGGCCAATATGCTAATTGTACAGTGCTCCGGTTTATAAAGACCACTGTCACACGTCAATGTTACTCGGCGCTTTTACGAGAATGAACATTAATAATCCTACAAAAACAAATTTGCAATACTGCCCGGAAAAAAGTCCATGATAGGTCTAGGATAAAATTATATTTTTAGCGGTGGGGGGAACTGTTTATTATGAGGGAGGAGGGGGGGAGCCATATTACCAGTTGCATTGTGGGAAAAGTTTGGTTTGATTATCAAAAGTTTTATTATTACATGACAGGAAAAAAAGTCATTGATCACGAAAAAAAAAAAAAAGTCATTTTGGAAAATATATTACAAGGAAAAAGTTCCGAAGCAAATTAGTCTTGTTATTATAAGAAAAAAACAACATCCTATGATTATGAAAAAAAATGCTCATGACCACAAAAAAGTTGGATGAGAATTTTTCATCATCACAAAAAAGTTATGGCAAGAGAAGAAAAACATTTTATTCCATTAAAAAAATAAATTGTCTCAAAATGGGCAAAACAGACATGAAAAAAAAAAGGCGTATTGTTAAAAGAAAAAGTTAAATCTTTATCGGAAAAAGGTTGTATTTTTATTATATTAAGGAAAAAAGATCATGGGGGGGAAAAATATTGCAAGATATTTTTTTTTATTATTTCAAAAAGTATTACTATTGCGAGAAAACAATTGCATTATGAGGAGGAAAAAAAAAAGTCACACGACGATGAAACTTTGCTCCGGTAATAGTAAAATTTTGTTTCAAGTACGTCAGGCACCGTAGGAGTGGCGCGGGTGCTTTTTATCGCCTATACGCTTCTCTCCTAGCGCATCCTTTAAATGAACGCAAGCTATATTTAGCCGCCACGAGTCAGTGTGTCGATTCGGTGACGCCCGACCAGGAGAGCTATAAATAGCCCTCAACGGGACATATCGAAAAGCCGACGTGAGAGAAACGTGAAATGAAGAAAGAGAAAGAGGAAGAGAGAGATGACTCGCCGAGGTGGGCTGTCGCTTTCGTCCCCGTTTAGACGCAAGCACTTGAGTGCGCCTCCGTGGGACAACGGGGCCATTCCAAGACACCGGTTGATTTAAAGCCGATCGGAGAGACATTTGGAGCCCATTTACGGCATCCAGGCGGACGGCTTTGAAACGCAACGTAATCATGGATTCAATTAGGGAGGCTATTATACGCAGCGCATAACACCCAAAAACCTTTTCAAATACACTTTTTAAACAAAGCCCGCCCCTTTTGGACAGCGCGAGTCAGTCAAATGACGAGGGCAGCATCGTGCGCAGTGAAATGGAGATGCCCACCTCGAGCATCATGGGTCCCAGGGCATCTTTGTCAATCACGCTCTGGCCCGTGGATGAAACATCGGCCTTCTGCACCTCCTCCTCGCTGGTGGCGGCTGCTTTCTCTGCGGGTCGGATAAAGTTGGAATATTAGGATTAAAATACATAAATAAAATAATTATGTGTGAATCACCGAAAAAAAAGGGTAATACGAGAAACCCCAAAATTATAGAGTCGTCATATTATAACTTACAAGACGAAAACAAAGATGAGTAATGTCAAGAAATATTCAAGTCATAATTTAGGAGAAGGCAACAATTTTGTGCGGATAATGTCACAATAATATGAGGAAAAAAAATTGCATTCTGAGAGGAAAAAATTAACGTAATATTTTGACAAAAAAATGTGAATTTGACATGGCTAAAATTGTCAACGAGATAAAAGACGAGACAAAAATAAATCCTATCGATAAATAAAATCATCATATGAGTTTTTACATCACTGCAAATTTCCAATTCCAAACCGAAAATGTTTCCAGTTCTTACAATTGTGCAATCATAAAGTCGGTCCACTTCAAGAAAAAAAAGCGAAGAGTTTTTACTTACTCTTCCCGAGGTTCAACTTCTCTTTTCCATCATGTGCATTTGTGGCTCTTTTCAGTGTGGTTACACCACATTCGAAACTCATCTACTCTATGTTCGTGGTGATAAAACTAAAAGTGTTGCCCCCCCCCGTCCCTCCACCAGAAGCTTAACAACAATATGCTATCTTTTGACATCGCCTAAAGGCGCGCCGCTTTTGACGACTTTCTTTTCACACTGCCGCCGCTTGTCGGCTTCCAACACTCGCCGCCTTCATTAGCCGAGATACCGTCGAGCCACGCGGGCGGTACACTCGCCGGCTTGTTGACGGGTTGTTTACCCGTCCCCGGAGAGGCGACTTTTTCGATTGGTTCCCTCGCTTGTGTCTTATGGTGAGGAGCCGCGCTAGCATTGAGGGGACGGCTGAGTATATCCTGGCCGGGAAGGGGGGGTGGGGCGTTTTGCAGCTGTGCCGTCGATGAATGCGCGGGTCTGTGTGGCGTTGCGCAAGCTCGGTGTAGAAATATTACTTTGCTTACGTGCAAAATTGAAGGCATGGGATTGTGGTGGGTTTTTTTTTTTGTTTGTTTTGCCCGCCTTCCTTCGTGAGTTAATCGTGTTCATGCGAATTGCTTCATCCGGCCCCAAAAGTAGGCAAGGGGACACTTGAGAATGGTATGCATCAACTCTTTTCTCATGGAACTTACGCTCATAAAATTATGATTTTTTATTTATTTATTTTTTTTTGGGGGGTCATAATGCTGTGACGTTATAACTTTTTGTCTCACATTACGCGATGATTATTCTGGAAATTTTTTTAACTTCTTGCCTTGCAATGATATGATGCTTCTTTCCATTTCCCGTAGAGTTAACCAGACTTTTTTTCTTTTTTGCCTTGCAATTTTAATGACTTCATTCTCATACAATTACAAATTTTTGTCATAAATTTGTCATATAATAATAATAATCCTTTTTAAAGTTTTTTTTTTCCTTTCCCAAATTATATTGGCGTGATACAATTTTATCAAAGCACTTTTCGTCAAAGATGTTTAGACGACAGACGAATTGACATTTCTGAGGCTTTTTTTTTTTTTTGTAAAACGCAGTTCGTAAAAAATAGTGCCGATGAACCTCGGAAGCAATTTGATGACAATGATCAAAATTCTCGGAACATCGCGTGGCCTATCTGTCCAAATACCGGTGACTTACGCTGCGATGCGACTCAAAAATTCGAGGGCGATTTTTTTTCTTCTTCTTTATGTTACATTGCACAGGTTACATAACAGTTGCTGGCGCATCAAAACAAGACGCCATCGCTGTCCACTTATATAATTAGACCACGCCGCGGCGAGCTTGGGTCTAAACTTACTCAACCCATCCATACTCGCCTTACACATCAACATGAGCGATTCAAACTCTACTTGGGAGCTAAAAGGACTTTCCATTCGTTTGGATTATTGAATCGGAAAAGCAATTTTACGGGTGATTAAATACAAACGTAAGGATATGGGTGCTTTCGAAAAGAAATAATAAAAGAGCCCTCAAATGACTTCCAAACGAGCTCAAATGAGCATCTGGACAAATAATTCCGCAGCGCTGATTGATGTGCCTGATGTTCTGGCTCGTGACGGTGGAGGGAAAGCCAAACTGAGTGCTCTGGATTATGCGCGTTACATGATGAAGTGATGGAAGGAGCATTAATCAATCGTAATGCTGTTTGCGGCAATATTCAAATGCATGTGGCAGCTTCCAAAACTTAATATGGCGCAGTTGGGTGTAATTTTTATAATTATTACTATTGCTATCATTATTATTATTTGGGTTATTTTTGGCTTTTTGTGATGGACATGTGGACAAAAAGTCCATCGGCAAAACTTGTGTAAGTGACTTTTTTTTTTTTTTTTTTTTTAACTTTGCAGACAACTTTTTCATAGAATTTACAGCTGCTTCACAGGCGCTCTGGAAAATGGACGGACAGATAACAACAGGCAGCCCTTTCTGGGCGTCCGCCACTCGCGCGCACCTTGCTCCTTGATTTGCCGAATCTGCTTCACGGTCTCCTTCAGGATGGCACATTTGTCGGGCTTCACGTTGAAGTTGTCGATGTCGTTGAAGTTGGCGAAGATCAGCTCGGCGAGCTCCTCGATGTACTTGTTCTCATGCTCGCGGTTGCGTTTCTCGTTGCTCCGCTTGGGACTGTGGACAATGAGAGAGGAACGTATTCGTCAATGGGCAGATGTATAAAACTAACGGCATGTCCCAAAAAGAAAATCGAAATGACCATACAATGTAAAAGTGTTTCACTTTTTGGCATCGGACAAATGAAACTGACCGAGTTGTCCGAGATTATTCACATTTCTTGAGATGCACCTGCAACAGCTACAAAATTAACTCATTCACTCCCAAAGACGTTTTTAAACGTCTTTTCAGACTTGGTCCAGAATTGGCTGGGACTGAATGAGTTTTAATATGCTATAAAAAATAAATAAATACTAACAGACGGTGAGCTGCATGTTGTATCAAAATCTACATACGGCATGTCAAGCCTTACCTTGGTCCAAGAAGTTCAGCAGAACATTCTTTACGTTTTCGCGACTCTGCCCTGGCAGGGTCGGACGAGTTTTCCCCGATGCCACTCATCCTCAATGCATATCAGCGTCTACAAATAAATTAAAAAAAAAATAAGAACAATAAAAATGAAGTTTGAATGCAGGCCATTGTGATGGCACCAGTGTGTCAAATTTTGCTTTTAAAGTTTTGAAATGGTCCCTTTTTCAAACCGTGGGAAATCTTGAAACCGGTAAACCAAACGATGCTTCTCGGTGACTTCATTTGCTGCGTGATCACACATTCTGCACAAACGACTCCACTAAGAGCCTTTGGTAGTAAAAAACATCGCAAACCAAGGAGCCCTTTGACTTTCTTTTTTTTTTTGAATTTGCAAATCCATAGTTTGATGTCAGAGGAACAACCTCCTGACCCCGCCCCTCCCTCCTCCCCAAGGCAGGAGGAAAGAAGGCTTTCCCCAGCACACATGTCGTGTTGCGATCCGCTGCAGCCATGGAAATATGACAAGCGCACATGCTTGCTTGCCGACTCCTCCTCTATTACATAAGGCAGGACAGGCAGAGTGGCAGCAGCACAATATAGAGCAGATGTAGCGTATCTTAGGAGAGAGAGAGAGAGAGAGAGAGAAAGAAAAAAAAGCTTCTGGCCTGGAGTGACCTACTTTGGAGGCAGGAAAAGGTGCATGGACACTCAAGAGGGGTAACGGCGTGGAGGACAAAATGACTTCAACGCCGTGTCCAGCTCATTTGCATTGAATTTTTATTTGACTTTTTCACCAACCCCCCC